CTTAATAATTTCAACCTTAATGATTTATTCATATATCATATTCTCATATGTGTGCTGACTGAAAATGAAACTAAAATTAGGACTGGGGTAACTCAAAAGTTGAAGAAATAATTTCATATGAAAATATAATTTGGTCAAGACATTGAAGAGGAAAAATGGGCAAAAACTGAGGTCCATATCAAAAAACATGTTTTCTCAAGAGGACATCTCCAATGTACACTTTGATAYTATATATAGATAACAGTTTCCGTAATTGAGATGCATTTCCAATATTTACATATATGTATCATATGCATTTGTGTACAAATATGTGTCCATTAAAATCTTTATAATTTTTATAGAAATGAAAATTTCAAGATATTAAGATGACACAAGTAAGGTGCTACTACATAGTCATTAGCTCTCAGACACTGGCAGAGAACGCAATCACTTGTAGGTTTTCTTCTCTCCCCCCAAATATTCTTTGTCCCATCTAAGAAGAGCTTGCATCAATGCCTATGGTTAAAGTAAGGGATTCAATTTAAAAAAAAATTCCTACTCTTTATAATACATAAAAAAAAATGGGAGAATCACTGTATTATGTTGTTTGAAACGACAAAGTTCTCATTGAGTACAGTTCACGACTACTGCCAAATTATCATTTTATCAATTTTATTTGCAGGATAAATCATTTCTCAGCTGTGTCCTTTCTCCACTCACTTTACCCATGGAGCTGAATCACAGTGTGAATGAGTTCATTTTATTTGGGTTAACACAGGATATTCTAAAGGAGAAAATAGTGTTTGTGGTCTTCTTGTTTCTCTATCTTGCAACTCTGTTGGCAAACTCACTCATTTTGATAACCATTCGGTTCAGCCGGACACTGGGGAGTCCCATGTACTTCTTCCTTTTCTACTTATCCTTGGCTGATTCCTGCTTTTCAACAAGCACAGCCCCCAGATTGATTATCAATGCTATAGCTGGGAACAAAGTCATCTCTTACAAGGAATGCATGACACAGATCTTTGTTGTTCACTTTTTTGGCTGCATGGCAACCTTGGTTCTCATCCTCATGGCCTTTGATYGYTATGTGGCCATTTGTAAGCCYCTGYGATACACAATCATCATGAAYCAACAGGTCTGTGGTGCATTGGTGATTCTGGCCTGGGTTGGTTCTTGTATTCATTCTTCAGCACAGATTTTCCTGGCTTTGAAGTTACCCTTTTGTGG